AATAAGTGTTAAAATGGGGCAACCAAAATGGTGGGGGAATAAATAAGCCAAAAACTCCTAATTAAATACAGGTGAATGTTCAGTACAAGTTTTAATGTAAGTAATTCTAGTGAATTAATTAATGTAAATTAAATAGACCAGAGTTTAACATATAGTAAAACTAGTTGATAACCCATCAAAAATGACAGGGATGAGAATTTTATTCGTTCTTTTACGATAATTCTTTTTACCCCTCCCCCTCCTCCTTCAGGCCAATTCCAACCCATTAAGACTAAGAGAGAGGAATTGTCTTTTTTATTCAATGATTGACGAATAATATATTTTACCTTTATTTGATGATGGATGAATCAGACATTTTCCTTTTTATGAGATGTGATTTCGAAATTTATATTTTAAATTACAAAAATGAAACAATATCTCTTATTAGCACCCTAAATACTAATATTATTTACCAGAGCTCCTGTTAGTCAGAATTACTACACTCCCCACCGCGTGAAGGTAGGAGATGGATTTTAGGGGAGCAAAGAAATGAAAAAAAGAATGAAAATAAGAAGGAAGAAATAGAAAAAAAAGAGACAAAGATATGAATTATAAGAAAATATAATAAATATTTATACTTCAAGAGTTGATGATTATCGGGAAAAATATAATATAATAAATTTTATAATATAGAAAATTTTACCTAAAAAAGGAGATTTCAATCTCTTTTCTTTGCTCAAGGTGGTCTCGTTTTTGAAGATGATGTTGTGATTTCCTTGCTCGTAGTTTGTCGTAAATAACCTGAAATAAAACGTGTAAATTGAAATTATAAAATAGAATATACTGTTGTTGGTGAGGAAGATAGTTTAGCGATGGTGAAGAAGTTCTCTTTTCTTTGCTCAAGGTGGTTTCGTTTTTGAAGATGATGTTGTGATTTCCTTGCTCGTAGTTTGCCGTAAATAACCTGAAATAAAACGTGTAAATTGAAATTAAATAGAATATACTGTTGTTGGTGAGGAAGATAGTTTAGCGATGGTGAAGAAGTTCTCTTTTCTTTGCTCAAGGTGGTTTCGTTTTTGAAGATGATGTTGTGATTTCCTTGTTCGTAGTTTGCCGTAAATAACCTGAAATAAAACGTGTAAATTGAAATTATAAAATAGAATATACTGTTGTTGGTGAGGAAGATGGTTTAGCGATGGTGAAGAAGTTCTCTTTTCTTTGCTCAAGGTGGTTTCGTTTTTGAAGATGATGTTGTGATTTCCTTGCTCGTAGTTTGCCGTAAATAACCTGAAATAAAACGTGTAAATTGAAATTATAAAATAGAATATACTGTTGTTGGTGAGGAAGATGGTTTAGCGATGGTGAAGAAGTTCTCTTTTTTTGCTCAATGTAGTTTCGTTTTTGAAGATGATGTTGTGATTTCCTTGTTCGTAGTTTGCCGTAAATAACCTGAAATAAAACGTGTAAATTGAAATTATAAAATAGAATATACTGTTGTTGGTGAGGAAGATGGTTTAGCGATGGTGAAGAAGTTCTCTTTTTTTTGCTCAATGTAGTTTCGTTTTTGAAGATGATGTTGTGATTTTCTTGCTCGTAGTTTGTTGTAAATAACCTGAAATAAAACGTGTAAATTGAAATTATAAAATAGAATATACTGTTGTTGGTGAGGAAGATAGTTTAGCGATGGTGAAGAAGTTCTCTTTTCTTTGCTCAAGGTGGTTTCGTTTTTGAAGATGATGTTGTGATTTCCTTGCTCGTAGTTTGCCGTAAATAACCTGAAATAAAACGTGTAAATTGAAATTAAATAGAATATACTGTTGTTGGTGAGGAAGATGGTTTAGCGATGGTGAAGAAGTTCTTTTTTCTTTGCTCAAGGTGGTTTCGTTTTTGAAGATGATGTTGTGATTTCCTTGTTCGTAGTTTGCCGTAAATAACCTGAAATAAAACGTGTAAATTGAAATTATAAAATAGAATATACTGTTTTTGGTGAGGAAGATGGTTTAGCGATGGTGAAGAAGTTCTCTTTTCTTTGCTCAAGGTGGTTTAGTTTTTGAAGATGATGTAAAGTTGGTGATTTGATGGTGAATAACAAAGTTGGTGACTTTTTTAAATTTCTTACAAATTATGAATTTAAGATTTCATTATATACGATATTTTGTGTGAATGTTTTATCATTTTTTAAAATTTTTCCTTGTAATTCTGATGGCAAAATCATAATTTTCATATTATTTTGAGATTTACATCTAGTAAGAGCCACATATAGTTGTCCATGGGCAAAGACGGGCTCAGGAAGGAATAAGCCTACATGATCCAAAGTTTGTCCTTGACTTTTATTTATTGTAATCACAAAAGCGGGAATTATAGGAAACTGTCGTCTTTTTAAAGTAAATGGTAACTGAGAGTCACTTGGAGCTAGATCTATTCGTGGGAGAAAAACTCGATAACCCTTATTAGTGCCTGTCAATACCTCAGCGTCGATAAAATTAATATGTAAATGTCGTATGATTAAACGGGTACCATTACAAAGTCCTTTCTTTGGGCTCAAGTTGCGTAATAGCATAACAATTGTACCAACCTTAAGTGTTAGCTTGTGAGGTGGCATACCGGATGGAGTTTGTGAATGTAAAAATTCTAGTGGAAAATTCATTATATCATCCTTATTATCGCTTTCAATGGAATCTGCACTATAATAATGTTTGATAGGGCCTGAAATTATATTAATGATATCGTTGTTGAGGGTAAGTGCAATTTTATTTTTGGTGGTTAATATTATTTTAGTAGAAAGACTATCTATATCAGCAATTTCTATAGAATTACCATACACACATTTTATTAATGAATCATTTTCAAGCAAATAAGGTGGGATTTCAACACTATTTGTAGGAAGATCAAAATTGCTGCGTGATAGCCCATCTCCAATTTTAAGTAACCAAGCATTGTAATCAACTTATATTATCAATCAAATGTATTATTTTAAAATGACTCCATAAATATGAACTTTTTATACAGGACTCTATAATATCGACTTTGGAGCCTTTAGGCACTACTGGTAAAGTCTGTCTAAAATCACCACCTAATAAAATTACTTTTCCGCCAAATGGGTGGGAATTTTTCATAATGTCTTTAAGTAATCGGTCAATGCATCGCAAAGCGTGTGAAGTCATCATTGTGGCCTCATCAATAATAATCAATTTGCTATTTTTAATATCTAGAGCTAGCGAACTATGTAAATTCATATGGGATGTAGAAGTTTCAAAGATAGGCACAGGTAATTTAAATCCGCTATGGATGGTTCTTCCCCCTTTAAAAGAATAGAGGATATGCCGGTGGTTGCAAAAGGCAATACAATTTGATTTTTTGCTCTTATATAACACATTAAGGTATTGTAAAGATACGTTTTACCTGAACCTCCAGGGCCATCCACGAAGAAATATCTTTCTGGAATATTTTCTAATTCAATCGTTTGTATAATTAAATCAAAAGCATATTTTTGTAATCGGTTTAATTTAGATATACGCTCGATTGAATCGGCAGCTTCAACATGGGCATCATAATGTTGTTTTGGGGGGATTTTTGTAGGTGAAGGAAGATCAAAACTTTGACAGCATAAACCATGATCAAGAAAAACGTTTTCAATGTCCATTAAAGCCATGTTTATTGCAATTACTTCTGAATATTGACGCAAATAATCTTCAATCATCATAAATCTGAACCTATTCCATAGATATGCAGGATTTTCAGGCTGACAAAAAATGCAGATAAAGGCAAAAGTACTCCGAAGTTGTGACAGCATTTGATATATTGATCCCTCTTCTAAGCATGATTCCCACTCTTTATCATCTGATAACAAATTTCTTTTAATAGCTGCCTCTTTAAAAGTACTCATTAAAATTCCATTAATAGTTTTTAAATAATCAAAACTTGTAGCCCCGCAAACATGAAGTAATAATAATCGAAGGAAGAATCGTTCACCAGAATTAGGATTAACGGAATACATTCTCGAAATTACATTTAATCGTTTTTTTCTTAGTTTCCAATGGTAATTTGTAAACACATAATGATAAGGTATTTCCCCATAAAGATATTGTCTAGCATTTAGATCTGTCTTATTTAACTCAAACCATGCCGTTAAAGTAGTATGTTTATTTTCTGATCTCAATAAAGCATCTCTTTCATGTCCAGCAGTGAAATATACTGGCTGTTGTAAAGGTAAATGAATTCCTAAGCGAATAACAGCGTGCGAGATGTCATGCATATTATTTTCTAATAATCTCCACATTGATTCACATGCACTCACATATCGCGCATTTAAATGTGATTTAATTTCGTCATGAATATTTATATTTGAAGCAACATTAATGTCAACATTAGTACAGTCATAGCCCTTATAAATATACTTAAAGATATATTTTACCGATTTAATAGATGTACAAATTTCCACGTTAATATGAGCATTGAATTTTAACATTAGATATCGATTATATGGAATAACATAACGATTATCCGTAGGTTTACCGGAAGGAATTGTAATACCATTATCTCGCCTTTTATAATATGGATACCCATCAATATTTGGTCTTGTTTCCATTTGAAAATCCTTCGGAAATTTTTTGGTACATATGCCATTTTCCATGCAAGGCGATTTGGGGTTAAATATCCCGCAAGGACCATGTATCATAAAATGGGTAACAATCTGAAAAAGTTTAGGATCGAGAATTTTATCTGGCATTTTGGCACAAACAAATTTACCTATAGCTTGAGATGTTTCAATTTTGCTATCATCGTTTAAAATAATAAGTATATGGGCATGAGGCAAACCTCTTTTTTGGAACTCGATTGTATATATAAAAGCCATAGATTTACCAAATAAATTTTTTTTATTTATATCGAACAATAATTCATTTAATTTCAATTTAAAAACACGGGCTATTAAATCTGGTCTATCTGTAGGACTTTGCCCGGGAAATAGATTTTCCTTAATTTCACGCCAATTAGGATTGCATGTAAAAGTAATAAACAAATCAGGTTTGCCAAAATTTGAGCACAATGGCCATTGCATCGTGATAGCGTTCTCGTATATTTCTTTGAGAACCTTGAAAAGATGATGGTAATATTACTGCTTTGCCGGGAATTATATTGTTTGACTTTGTTTCCAAGTAGTCCATTAATCCAGAATATTCATCTACTCGTAATTTTGGCTGATTTTGTCTAATAAAATTTAAATTATTCGCCTCGACCTGTAAATAGGAATCAACAATATATTGTTGTGATAATTTCCCAGCAAAAAGGATTGGGTTGAATTCATTTTCACGAATTGCTAATCTAAATATTTTAAACTGTAGTAGTGCGATATTTGCCCTTGTACGCCCTGTATCTTCACCCTTTAAATCTGGTTTCCAACCAGGGTCACCAAAAGGAAATAATAGAGGATATACCATTGGATCAAGATTAGGGCTTAATATATTTATATTTATCAGATCACTACCATCAACTTGAGGATAGACCTTGATATCCCGTTTAAATGGGGGTTCACCATCATCATTTGTAAAAATCATAGCTACTTCATCTATATTAGGAATGTTATATCTTCGCTTGTCACTTGAGCGATCTGCACGAAAAATCATATTGATTTTTTGAACTGGTCGATTTTCTTGAATAGCCCTATTTTTTTCTTCTTTCTCAATTTCTCCCAAGGTTTTAAAACTAATAGAAAATGGGTTATTCTGTCTTATTAAAATATCTAATCTTTTTAAGAGATCCTCATTGCAACCAGAATTTTCTTTCATGTGTAACCTGCCATTAACAGCCTGGGTGGTCTCAAGGACATATAGTTGTGCAAATTTAGGAGGCATCCCAGTGGAAGGATATAAATGAGATGTTCGGTAATAAATTTGCCCATGAACTCTAAAACAATATGGGACTGGGTTTAAACTATTAGAAATCTGTGCTCCCATGGATGCGAACGCAAGTGAACTATTATAAGATCTTATATATTTCATAAAGTTTGAATGAAATTCATTGTTAGGATTAGATAAAAGGTCTTGTAAAAAAGGAATATATCGGATTGATGGTATCTTAACTTTACCCTTATGACAGCAATTCTTAAATTTGCCATCTGTGGGTTTTTCCAATAAAAAATTTAGAGAATCGCAATAATCGCACTTAGTGTTGAGTAATCCACAATAATGTTCTTGTACTAATGATTGTTGTGCAGAAATATTTATCTAAAATAAATAAAATAAATTTGAGGCCTGCTAAAAATTATACATATAATTTAATATTTTTGTGATTATTCAGAGACCTGCAGACCCGGTGTAATTGTAAAATCTATACCATCAAAAATCAATACGTTATTGATTTTTATAAATCTTTGATTCGACATTTATATATGAATCACAAAATTTTATAAACTCAATCAATAAGGTCCATTTAATTTATTTGAATTCATAATATTATTTATAAAACTTTGAATCAACAATTATATAGCACTTCACAAATTACAAATAATGAGTAAACAAATATAAAATATATAGGATATCATTGTAAAATAAATAAATTCCCTGATAAATTATATAAAAGAATAGAAAATCATATTTATCATTTTAATATATTTAAAACTATTAAATCTATTTTAAATAAAATTTTTACAAATCGAAAATGGCCGCCAATATTTATAAAGCGATGAAAAAATATATAATAAATAAATATTTTATAATTTTAATGGTCGCCAATATATTTGAAGCGATGCAAACATCTTAAAAATCTATACGGTATTGATTCTACAATAGCAATATATCACTACGGTATTGAATCTATAATTATATCAATACGGTATTGAAGTTACAATGAGTATTGATTTCACAATCAATACACCGGCTCTGATGTAAACATATGCCAGGCTTATAATAATTTTTTCTAAAATATTCCATGGGTAATTACGATTATGTAGCACATACTTATTTTATCTTATATTTTGCCCGTCAAGATGATAGTGAAATAAGAATTTTCTTTTTTATTAGTTGATGAAATATATTTTTTATTGTGGACATAAATTAAAATTAATAACCATATACTTCATAAATAAATAATAAATTTTGAATAACCCCTGATGATGGATAAATTAAAAATTTTCTTATCTATCTTATGAGATGTGATTCAGAAATTTATATTTATTAAAATATTTGTTATACATAAATTAAAATTTTTAACTTGGTTTGTTTTTATTGATTTGGGTAGATTAAGATTTTGGTGAATAGTAGATTTTGGTAGTGTCTAATTTAAAAAAATTTATTTGTTAACATAAATTAAAATTTTTAACTTCGTTTGTTTCTATTGATTTGGGTAGATTAAGATTCTGTTGAATGGTACATTTCGGTAATATGATTCGTAGAATCTAATTTAAATAAATTTATTTGTTAACATAAATTAAAATTTTTAACTTGGTTTATTTTGATTGATTTTGGTAGATTAAGATTCTGCTGAATGGTACATTTCGGTAATATATATCGTGGAATCTAATTTTAAAAAAATCTATTTGATAACATAAATTAAATTTTTTAACTTCGTTTGTTTTTATTGATTTGGGTAGATTAAGAGTCCGTTGAATGGCACATTTCGGCAATATGATCCGTGGAATCTAATTTAAATAAATTTATTTATTGTCATAAATTAAAATTTTTAACTTGATTTGTTTTTATTGATATAGGATCACTGAAAAAATTATACTTAGATATTGCACCAAAGGTATCTTGTGTAGGAATCTAAAAAAAAATAATAAAATAGATTTTAATGGCCCACAGTAATGTTCAACTTGTTCTTGATTTTCAGTATCTTCAAGATTATTGGATGTTGAAGCAAATTGTTTATTTCCAGTATCTTCAAGAGGTTGGATGTTGTAGGAATAAGACTTTGCTCGTTCCTTTTCTTGATACGACAAAGTGCCTGTCTCTTTCTAGCTTTCTCCTTATGTTGATTTATTATTAAAATTTAAAAATATAAGAATTACTCAATTTTATAAAAATAAGTTTAGTTTAAAATATTTATTATTGTGGACATAAAATAAAATTACTAAATATATACTTCATAAACATATTTATAAAAAATAATGGAAAATATTAGAATAGCCCCTCACCTAATAAATATATATTTCGGAATCACATCTTAAAAATATAAAATTTACTCTTGTTGAAGCAATAATGCCTTCTTTAGATTTTGGTAGTATGAAACGTTCCATTGTTTGGTTTTGTTGAATGGTATCTTGTGTAAAAATCTAAAAAAAATAATAAAATAGTATTTATAAAAATTTTAACTTACATTGCCTATGAGATAACCTTAAAAAACTTATTTAATATTATATGTATTTATTATGTAAGTTTGTATTTGTGCAGGAATCTAAAAAAATAGTATTTATAAAAATTTTAAATTACATTGCCTATGAGATAACCTTAAAAAACTTATTTAATATATGTATTTATTATGTAAGTTTGTTTTTTGTACAGGAATCTAAAAAAATAGTATTTATAAAAATTTTAACTTACATTGCCTATGAGATAACCTTAAAAAACTTATTTAATATTATATGTATTTATTATGTATGTTTGTTTTTTGTGCAGGAATCTAAAAAAATAGTATTTATAAAAATTTTAACTTACATTGCCTATGAGATAACCTTAAAAAACTTATCTAATATTATATGTATTTATTATGTAAGTTTGTTTTTTGTGCAGGAATCTAAAAAATAGTATTTATAAAAATTTTAACTTCCCTAAATCTGCCACTTAACGTGGGTAAAATAGAAGAGATAAATGAATTTTCAAATATAAAATAAGATGCTCAGATAAAACGTAAGTATATGTAATGTTCAACTTGTTCTTGATTTTCAGTATCTTCAAGATTAAGATGTGTAAATTGAAAGTATATGGTTTTGCTCGATGTGGTGTCTGTTAAAAAATATAATTATTTACTGATTATTGAAGGTTTTGCTCGATGTTGTGTCTGTTAAAAAAAATATCAATTATTGTAATTATTATATTATTATATGTTTTGTAATTGTTTTTTGTATTGAAATTCTTTTTTTGAAAATGGCGGTTCGATTTGGTTTATGAATGCGTGTTTGATATGTTTAAGCTATGATGATTTTTATTGAATATATATATTATAGATTTGAATTCCTTAGCTCTTGTAGGATTATCTGCAAACATTTTTTTCATACTAATGTTCCTTCCTGCCTATTGCCTCAAAATACTTCTGAAATGCTTTCCATGATTTATAGGAGATTAAATCCATTTTGCTAATATGATCTAAATTGGCTTAAAATTGCTATGATAGATAGATAGATAAATTATAGATATATAGAAAGAACAATATATTTGACATCAATTAAGACAAAATATTTACATTTCAACTTAGAAATATAATGCTATTTAAAATAAAATATAATTATATAGATGGCGCTAAATATCATGGAGATTAAAACTACAATTTAACATAACTTAAATACTTCAGAATTTGTTAATATTAATTAAATATTATTAAGAATCACTCCCTATTTAAGTAGGACAAACGTCCAATAATTAATAAAGAAGTTGAATATTACATAATATATTAACAAAATTATAATTGACTATTATCAGGTAAAATAATTGACTATATAATGTCACAGTTGTGACTGTGACTGCTATAATCATTTTGATTGGACAAATAATATTTAAAAGAAAACTATTGGCTAAATTTGATTGACATTTTTTGAGGATTATATATATAGATAGATAAGTTTTTGTTAAAATAATTTATGATAATAAAATGTTTAATTTTTTAAATTATTTATAACGATGGCGTTAAATACTTAAATGCTATTTGTTATTATATTTATTATCAAAACCATTTATTAGTAAAATTTATTATAATATTAACTGTAATATATTATATAACTGTCAAATACGTCTATAAAAGTGGCATTATATTTAATATTTCATAAACAACTGTATATAGTAGAGGATTATAAACTATATCTAAAAATTTGCCTTTTAACTTCAATAATAAAATAAAAAATAATTCTATAAATTAAAATAACATAGGACTTACCTTGAGTCTTTCAATTCAAAATCAAATATTTGCGCCGTTGTTACACAATTATTATATGTGAAAAAAGATGAAAATATATACAACAAAAATAAAACAAACCCACTTACAACAGTATAATTTTTATAAAATTTATATAATGGCCTAAAGAGAAGAGCATAAGGTAATCAGCAGTGGCGTCGCTAGGGGGAGGGCGCACAGGGGCTCGAGCCCCCTGAAAAATTTGAATAGCCCCCTGAAGCAAAAAAAATTATTTTTTAATGGCTCCTTAATATCCCCTTGAACTAAAAATAAATTTTTTTGATTGCCCACTGAATGATTTCTTTTATAATTCCATTAAGCAATATATAAATATAATTTATTATTTAGAAATTAATAAGTCTATTTAAATTTTTATTAAATGAATATTATTTTAATTATTGGATTAGATTAATACATATGAATTATATTTTCACCATGTCAGCTTGCAATCAAATTCTATGTTAAAAAAATAATATCAATAACTCACTAAATATTAATTTAGCTTTAACAGTTGAAGTTATATACTTTTATTACTTAAATTATTATTTAACCCTAATTAAATAAATATAATCATATATTATTTGAAAATTAACAAATTTAATATTGTAATTAGCCGAGTTCAAAACGACTAATCAACTGTATATTTATTTTAAAATTTTATTATCATACCTTAAAAATATTTTCTAGGTCAAATAAGTATAAGAGATCTATTATAATAATCCTCAAAAAACGTCAATAAAATTTAGCCAATAGTTTTCTTTTAAAACATATTTGTCCAATAAAAATGATAATAGCGTAATCGGTCCAATAGTAATCACCTTACCAAGCTCAGCATTCATACACTTACCATTTT